AACCAATTATCATGCTAATACGAGACAATTAGTATAGGTAAATAATATGATTTCGAGTTCAATTTGGAAGTAATTTGCACGAGTTTGTTTTTCAAAGAGGCCATAATTGCTTTACGCCGTAGGCCGAACGCAATTTGGCTCTTTAAAAAACAAAGGAGTGCAAATTAATCCAAATTGAACGAGAAACCATCTTATTACTTATTAATAACATACATGATAAAATTGAAGCCAAAACTGACAAGGCTAGACCTAGACAAGAAGTCAACGATAAAAACAACATGTAAGAAAAATCATCRATGCATACTAATTTTTTTATTTTCTTCTTGACAAACAATTTTTACACTTGTCTTACTATCAACGCTAGCAAAAAAACATTAGTTTATAACATATAACTAAATAAAACTTTCTTTAGTACAAAAGAAATAAAAAATTGAAGCAAAACAAAGTTCAGTTTCAAAACTTGTACTTTGTCATTTCTACTGATAAAAAAACGATGATTTACTCCACTTTAAATCAACTTATTTGAATTTGAACAATAAAAACATTGTCAATTAAACAGAAAAAAGACAGTATTTGAGCTGATTTCACGCTGAAACTGTACTGAATTTCATCGAGACTATTTTCGATGCAAAATCGTCTTAAAATGGTAACTAGGAAGCTTGAAACTTCACAAATACAAAAACCTAGTCCAATTCATCAGTGAGAAAGCAATTCCCACTTCTTGATTGTTTTTGAGTACTTTTTTCTCTGTTATCCGTTGAAGTGTCCGCCATCTTGGATTCTTGAGAAAAGTTTTCAGTTACAAAGAAAGCTTGATTCTTATTGAACGAAAACATTTCCTTTGTTTCTTAGCCAATCAGAAGCGCAAATTTGATTGTAATTGCACTGATATTACAGCTTTTTGCACTGTTCAATCTGTTGTAATTTCACTGCAGAAATGTAATTGCACTGAATTAAGAATTAATAGAGATGTTATCAGCCAATCACAATTGAGTAATTTTTTCATGTATATTATTAAGTTAGTTATAACACTCATGCATTGAAAACATCAGTGTTGTAGCTGATTTGCAGACACTCGATGTGTTCCCAACACTAGATAAGTCCTCAGTTTTAGACTCTCATCATAGAACTTCACTAGGTTTTGAGTTAAAATGTACTTATTGCAGTGGTGCTAGGATGTGGGAAACCAAGTTGATTACTGCTCATGCTCAAATGTAGTTATCTTCATCAATTATTCATTTTTGATATTTTTCTATTTATTTCATGTTGAAGTAAAATATTGTAGTTAATAATATACATACTGAGATTTACGCACCAAACATTCATCGGATAAAAATCGTCCCTTCACAACTAGTTAGAACGCTCCTTATTGGTCGTACGATTTTTTTAACTAGTGAAAAATATCGTACGACCAATCAGAGGCCAGATAAATAGAGGATATTACATGGGCGCGCGGAGATACGGATTTTATCTTCGAGTGTTGAAAAGATCTCTCACGAGTGAGCGTAGCGAACGAGTGAGAGATTTTCAACACGTGAAGATAAAATTCGTATCTCCAAGCGAACATGTAATATTCTATTTATCATATAATTGTATACGAAAGCAAATTATGTCGTAAAAATAGATTTTTCTTACTTTCACTATATAGAGAAACCTCGAATGTGTTATTTTCACTAGTAAAGATATCAAGTTTACGAAATGGAGAAATATAGGTATTT